GCCCACCGCATTGACCTGTCGTGTTTTCGTCTTTACTTCCCAAATCAATATGTATGCCTTGGCGGAACGGCGGCGCATCGGATGTTCTGTAGCCGATTGCCCTCTCTGTCCGTGTCGGGCAACTTGCACGTTCAATACAGTGATCCTGGCTGGGGCCACGTGAGAGACATACCAATCCCAGCCCAGATTGAGCATCGTAGCGTTAGATGGGAGATTTCCGGTTTCCCCGTTCCACTCAATGCAGTTTCTTATGGCCTTGCGCTTGGCATGGAGTGAGTAAATGAAGGGCACGGCTCACTTAGTGGCGCGGCTATGCATACTCAGCTGCGGCCGGTGTCCTGGTTCGTGTTCTTCACATGGTTGTCTTCATCTGTCTGGTACTGCTCTTTGCTCCAAGGAAACTTCTTCCTTGAGCTTTCCATTTCGATCCTCGTCTTCGTTTTCGTTCTCAAATTCTTCACAACCAACCCTTCGACTGAGTATCGACTTGTACATACCAGTCGTCACCATGACTTCCCACTCATTCACATTTGTTTCCCCTCTATCTCTTCGTAAGCAATAGGATACCGGCTCATACTTCGTGCAAATACTAACAGAATTAGCAAGCGCCCTCGGTACCGCACGGCCCGCCACCAGAGAACTACGCGGAACCTGCAGCCTCGGCCTTCTCTTACTCCCCGGCTTTCAACCCGACTTACGGCCTTCGGTATATTGCTAGGCCACTGTCAATGTTGGCTCCGGTATTCTCGGACCGCGAACCATCCTACGACATGACTCCCTCCATGGAAGAAGTTAGACAGCTTGCAGCGCAGACCGCGGAGGTTATCGTCAACAACGAAGACAGAAGCCCTACAGTGCCGATACGACGAACAAATGGCCGAAATTCAACAACGCTTGGCCAATCTTGAGCATCGCTTGAACAACAACGTTTCAGGGGATAATGTGATCGACCAAGGAAACACCATGCAAGCATATCTGGCTCAGATCACACAGCTCGAAACAGGGAACAGGGAACTGAGAGCCGAGGCTGAAATACTCAGGGACGAGCAAGAAGAGGCTAGGGCTGCGAACCAAGGCCTGAGGGCTTGAACAGACGTCGAAGGCTTCCCCCTCCACGTGGCTCTGAGGAACATGCACGCGTAGTGACTAGTGACAAGCAGTCTGCCGTTCCAGTAAGGCGGACCGAATCGCTTTTCACGTCCTTGATATCGACAAGAGCAAGGAGGAATATATGGCCAGTTATGAGGTATGTTAGATAGACGACGGGCAAACATGGTCCTGATCTGAAATCAGCAGTTAAGGCGTCATGTATGTAGACATCAGGTACCAATAGAGACACCCTTAATGCCACCGTACCAACCCATCAACACTCACCGCCAACGCAACTCTATCGCCCACCAACCCTGCCTTTATGTTGACTCTATGCCCACATCACTGTCTCCAACAACGAAGATATCACGCCTGACATCACCTCCTCTCCTCACATCATAGCACTCATCAGGAATGTAGTCCCTCTTCAACACCGTCTGCCATGCTACCCTCGCACCTAACCCCTCCGGCGCAACATAGTCCGGGATAGTTCTGATCTAGTAGTAACACGTCGCTCTATCGAACCCAAACGCCACAGGAAAGCTGAGTGAGTGCGCATAAGCATGACTCTCCCCCTCGACAATAGCACACCAAACGCCTTCGGCGCCGACGTGGGAATGCGCAGTTCATGTGATTTGCCATCCCACAGCTCCAGCGGGAATGCACAGATGATGCGCACAGGCGGTATCGTCTGGTTTGCGAAGCACCGCCGGATGTGGAAGGAACTAAACGCAAGCTTGAGCTGCTCCTCAGCATCGTCTCCATGGCGGCCAACATGAGTGAGGATTGTTTATCTTGGCTGCTGGCGTGTCATAGCTAGCCAAAAATGCTTTGGTGCGGTTAATGCACGCCAGCTCCTGGTAACTCACCTTATCCGCACCCCAGGTATGCGAGCGGATGGCATACTCGGGTATCTCGTTGTCATTGAACCACCGGGATTCTATTGTGCGGGCATCGATGAGCCGCATGTCACACGTAGTGCAGGATGACGGCTAGCCATAGTGTTGAGGTGGCTGAAGTAGCGCGGAAGCTAGATCAAAATAGGCTAGGGCCTACCAAGTTCCAGAATGCTAACCCGAGCGACCTGGTTAGTCATGTCAAGGAGGTTTTATATTGGAATGGAAGTTGAACCCGAGTTCGTTGGTAGACTGGATTTGACAATTACTATAATGAATCTATGCCATGTGTGCCCTTTGACCCTGAAAACAGATACGTAGTGTCGCTACTTCGTACAAGAATATGAACAGATAAGACAGAATAACCTGTCGCGAGAAGGTCCTCAAAACTCCAAACTGCTCAAAAGCCTATGCTTGTGCTGCCAGACTGGTGGTTGTGAAGCAAGTGTGTCTACCGCGAAGGTGGAGTGAGAAATACTGTCAACTTTGGACTGTTACTCTCTTCCAACCCGGACGGCGTGGTTATAAAGGGGTGATTATCCTCATCCATGTAGAACTGATAGCTTGCTTGTCTTGAGCGCACCATGCTCAGCGGAGGAGAACGAGATGTGCGTGCGCACCTTAGGTGCGCTTGCGAAGGGATGCCGTTTGACTTTGGCCGCCGGAGTTCAAAGCAAGAAGATGAATCCTGGCTTTCGCCGTCCCCATAGGTTTGCGGTCGAGGCGTACCCGCAAAGCGTTCGATATGGCGACGGCAATAAGCGATGGCCTGCTTCACCTTTCCTGTCGCTTGGTTCTCACTATCATATGAGCCCTATGAGTAGGTCAGTCTGAGTTCAGATGTCGGGACATGCAGGGGACTTACGCTCGAACTTTGCGGGCTTGGCAAGCTTGGAGTTGTGTCCCGGCTTGCTGCCCTTTTGCGTATCTCGGGAATGGTGGCGTTCATCTTTCTGAAGGTGTATGTGGCGTGAATCGAATCGAGTATTTGTAGTTTCGCATCGATATTGGAGCTACTTTGCTGTTGCAAATGTTTGATGATCTGATATGAAGACTGGTCATGTTATTATATGCTGTTGCCATAGCATAGCTACGACCAGGCTGTGTCACCACCAATTCGCTGCTGGGCTTAGACTTCCACCTACACAAGACATGTCCGCTTGCCGATACAGTTCACTTGCGTTACCTTTGTGACTCCTGGCAGATGAATGTACTGTGTCATGTCCGTAATGTTGAGCCGTGTAGCCCTGTGCGTAGCATCAGCTGTACCATGGGGGTGGCGATCTTTGCTCTGTCGTTGACACCCATCTCTCAGTCAGATTGTGACCAGGCTACGACCCATCTTATTTTTGAGTATACAGCCTATTTCGGGCCACATGGTACTCGGGCATCAATACTCGTCGCTCGCAGGCTGAATCTGGACAGCTTGTAGCCTAAGAAACAAGCAGATTTACAATGGTGCCATAACCTGAACTATGCACCTGCAAATACTGAAGGTAGCGTCGACTCGAATCATTCTCAATCACCAGATGTCAATCTTGAAAGCATCCTAGCCTCTAGCCTTTGGCTCTCCGCGGTAAATATGATATGCGGGCTTCTCCGCGGTTGTCCTTCTTCTCCACGGGACTTCTCGAAAGGTACTGGAAGACCTTCCCGCAGTCCAAGTCGATCACGTTACTGTGTATACTTACCTTGCACTACAATGCATCCGAATGTAGGGCTGAAGAACGATTACAGCAAATCGAAGCCTCTCAGCGAGTACGTTCAGATCATCATCGTCACCGCCATACGTCACCCGCCGATCTGTCATCACCAAGATCACTAATCCTGGACTCACATGCAGACCGCCCAGTCACTCGCTACTCTATACACTCGCTATTTTCATTATTACACTGTTCTCGAGAATGGACGTTTTCAAACTTCATTTCAATAGATCGGTCGTCTGGTAAAAGTAGACAAACACTCATCACCCTGCTACGACACGTGACTTCTGAGACAGCTGCCGCTCGCTCCGGACTTCTCTTCCCCCCACGCAGAACGAACTTACGTTGCGTTTCTTTCATATTATAGTCCTCCACTCAGAACAAGCGATCTTGCACTCAGATGTGGACCGCATGTTGCTGCATGGTCTCATCATGCACCTTTTCGACGGGCCCATGCACGGAATGAGGAAACCTTCTATTGTGATCCTCAGAATGACCGGACCCCCCTGAACTTGGAACACCCACTATTATTGTGTGGGGTATCCTCTCTAATCAACTGCTACTAGGTATACCTAGCTATTTAGAATCTAAGTGGGGTCTCTTTAAAGGGTTAATCGATTAAAGTTCGTGGGTCCGGTGGTTTTAAAAATCACCAATAAGCACTCGGCTCTGCTCTCTTTGCATTTCTGTTCGCGATCGCAGACCGAGGAAAGTTGACATGATGTTCTTGCTGTGTTTTTCTTAACAGATTGAGAAGATCTAATGCTGTCAAGTTCTGTGGATCTAGCTGGTTCTTTTGTCTTCGTACAAAAAGACCCTTTCCTTGGGAAAGCGCACAAGAATGGACTACCTTTTTACAAAGCCTGAGCTATCAACGCCCCAGGGCACCGTTGCGTAAGAGGGCGAGGAGGTTAGCCACCCAATATTCGTAGCCTGTTCCTTATCTTTGTTCCTTGAAAAAACTTGGCTACCTCCGGCGAGTGCTGTTGGCATGGCTCTCACGTCCTTCGATCGCAACGGAGATACATTAGGTGATACTTTTTGTATTGGCATCAGGGTTCAGAAGCCCGAGACCTTCAAGCGCGTGGTTAGAGTCTGATGCAAGTTTTCAGGTCATTCTGGAGATATTAGTGGCACAAGCGTTGGCTATGCTTGTGAAAGGTTTGGTTGTTACACCTCGCCTTCACTTGCAACGTTGGCTTGACGCTAGCCAGGACAAGCTTAGCGAGTTTTTGACTAGCACTTTGTGTATCTCAATTTGCTACCTCGCATTCTTCTTCTATACTAACTAGTGCTGTACAAGTGTGTCACGATGCCGGAACCAGCGAACGAGACCGCGAAGCATTCTACCGCCCAGTAAGTGTTTCGCACTATCCTGCTCAGCTGCACTAACATTCACTTCACACAGGCTTTTCAACAACCCTGCCTTGTCCAACGTCAAGATCCGCCAAATCTACGAAGCCCAAGTTCGCAAGTATGACGCGAAAAAAAGCCATTCTCTCCTTAGAATCGCCGTACTTCACTAACGCTTTCATGGGCCAAAGGCCTGCATTCTCAACGCATCACTCCATCCACATGTCAACGAGGTGCAGACAGTACCGAAACGGGACGCTAGCTGGAAACTGGTTTCAGGCATTGCGAGTGACTGACTGCCTCCAGGGCCTATAGAAGAACCCCTTTCAACGTACCTCTGTTAACGTGACTTCCTCCTTCACACCCGCTTCCTTGGGGGGAGTTCTCCTGCATGCCTCCGAGTGCTTTCCCTACGCCGCCGTAAGAGCCTCTTCTGCTAAAGAAAACACCGCGTTGGAGTACCAACCCGACTTCAGGATGCATATGCCATGGTCTGTTCGTGTAGGTGCGACCTCCTCGCACCTACACGAACAGACCAAGCAGACACCACCGAACACGCACGTCTCTCACATTCGATGAAAACTTCCATGCATTCCGCTACTAAATCAGGAGTTGATCTCATTTCACCAAGTAAAGACTGTATGCTAATAATAATACAAAACAATGCTAAGCGCTCTTCGATGCTTGTAAAAGCCGTCCGATCCCATCAATATGCCAAGTCATAGATCATAACCCTCCATCGCCGCCCAATGCAAATCTCTCATCTCATATCCTACAGCCTCTCGCATTCTTAACACCTAGCAGTTTACTCCACAGCATAGTCGTCACTCCTGCCATGCTTACTGATATCCCTAAACACCATTGGCCTATGCCCCTCCCCGTTCATAATCACCGCATCCCCATTTTCCTCACTCCGTCCATGTTCAATAACATCCGCCACCTGCAAATCCGGATTCCGATTCTTCAGGCTCGCAATCTGACACTCCCTAAACCTTTTAAACGTAACCGGATCCTCACTCTCCAGGTTCTTCAACTCCTGCGCGTTCTCGACCACGCTATCAAAAGCCTTCTCCCACCCGAGGCCCTGAATTTTATTCCGCAGCTCGTCGCCGGAAAAATTCATGAAGTATTCGCGCAAGGCTTGGAGATGCTCTGGGAGGCCTTCATTGTCCATTGTGCCCGAGATGAAGGCTTGGTCAGAGTGACTGGATGTGGGGCGTGACGGGTTTAAGAGGCCGGTGCGCACACGGTGGCCGAAGCGGTGCAGGGCGCCTTCTTCGATGGACATGCTGCGCGAAGCGAGCGAGACGTCGGAGTTGTGGCGTGAGCGCAGGAGGCGCGGTTCGTCTTCGTCGGACTCAGGGGCGGTGGGGTCGATGAAGGAGTCTGTCATGGTGGGCACGGAGGAGAGGGGTGGCGAGGTGCTGAGCACAGAGCTGGCGCGCGAGTGCAAGGAGGCGGTGTCGGAGGATGTGGCGAGGCGGGTTTCGGGGTATTCGTCTTCGAAGCGTTGGATCATGCCTTCTAGGGTCTGGTCGAGGAAGAGGAGGCGGCCTGAGTGGTGTTAGTAAAGGTGAGATGATTGAGTGGGAGGATGTACGTACGGTAGTTCATATCGTTGCCACCCTTTGCCTCGCGGATCAGCGCAGGCTGGATCCTCGCCCTTGTGTTGCGTGCAGTGTCAAGGAGGTTCTTCGACATTGCTCTTGCCTTGCTAGGCTCCTCGGCAACATCGATACGGCTGCGTGGAGTGACAGTACCACTAGCGATCTGTGGCCCTCTACGCAAATCTGCGTCCTTGTGTGACAGACAGTAACTGAGTGCTTTGACGATGCCCGTTCCACCGACAATGTAGTCGTTGTCGGGCGCAGTCTGAACGGTGCCATCCGCAAGATTGCCATCTGTGGGACCTACAAGGTGGGCAAGCACGCCAGGCAACTCGACTTCCCTCGGTGCACCTTGAAGCTCAGGCACCTCGTTGATCAACTCGATGTTTCGAAGGCAGTAGGCCACGACCTGTTTGGCGAGAGCCCTAACAACCTCGTTCATCCCTGGTGCTGGAACATCAATGTCGACGCAGATGAGCGTTCGGGATAACTTGGCTGCAAGTGTCAATGAAGCAAACATCGCAGCAGCTTCCTCCTGGGTCTCTTCGTCCGTCGAAGTGGCCACACGGGCGATCTCAGGGTTCTCAAGAACGTTGACGTGCGCAATGTGCGGGCAGTCAGGCAGAATCTCGGCGATAGCGATAGCGTCTGCAGGTTTCAGACCAACGTTTTGGAGATGCAGGCGCTTCAACTCCCGGAATTGCGGAATGTATTTTCGCAGTAGGCATAATGCCGTCTGATCTGCAAAGAGATCCTTGTTGCGCGACAGGTCAAGGAATCGTAGTGATGGTAGATTGACCATAGTTGGGAACAACGATTTGAGGTGCCCCTTTGTCAAGCCAGTATTGGCCAAACACAAGGCCCAGACAGTGCTGTCCTTGCCCAAGCTGTCGCAAAGTTGAGGTACCCATTCTTGCAGATCGTTGCCGCCAAGATCGATACCTTCGCAGACACCTGAGCGAATGTAATGTTGGACATGCTCCAGGCCTTCACAGTCGATGTCGTTGTCAGCAAGACTGAGTCGCTTCACCCCACTGACTACACAACCGTCGATGATTTTCCTGATGCTTGGTGATGTCAGACCACACTCTGCCATGAGAAGCTCTTGCATCGTTGAACCTCCTAGGCGTTCGGAAATAGCCTTCGACAAGATTTCTGCAACGTCTCTTGTTTTCACATCCTTCATTGGTGATGTCAATGGTGTCCCATTCGTGGGTGGCGAGGTAACTGGTGGTGATAACACCTGGGTCGGCTGCCTAGGGAACGGTATCATCGACACGTCGAGTGCGATGATGGACTTACACATGTAAGTGAACAACGCAATGTGCTTCCATCCCTCAGCTGTGATCTTGGCGTTATTCTTCAAGACAAGCTTCTTGATTGCGCATCCATGTGTGTCGTTGACCTCATCCGTTGCCTGCGCAGTGGCGCTGCGATTTTGTGGAGTGTACGGCATCTTGGCTGCTAGAAGTCCTGCAAGAATGACCCTGATCTTCTCGTCATTCAAGTCTGCGTCTTCCAGGAACAGTTTCTTCACTGGCACGATAGCAAGCCAATCTGACAAGGTCATGACATCGGCGAGCTGTAACCTCGACCCCGTCAAATCCAAAGATGTGACTATTCCTGGGTGCGCGACCGAGCATGCAGACGGAGATGAAAGTTGATCGCTGAGACGCTTCAGGATAGGCGATTCGCGAAGCTGGCAGCATCTTCGGTAGATACGTAGGGGATCGATGGTAGGACGGTCCTGGGGCCTTGGGGGAGTGTTGGAGCTTGGTGCAGCCCCTGCGCTGTCCGCGCTTACATCGCCGTCGTCCCTGGTAAACTCCATAGGTATCGAGCCATTCTCTTCAGCCTTCCTACGCTTCTTCTCTTTCCGTTCTTTTCGCTCTGCCTCAGATCGCTTCTTCTTCTCTTTCTTCTTGCTCGGTTCTTGCTTGTCATCGTTAAGTACGGTGCCCTCTGGGTTCGGTTCCTGCTCAGTGCCAACAGCTTCTTGCGCAACCGATACAACACCATCGGTCTCCTTCTCTTCGACCACAGCGGTTGGGTGCTTCAACGCTTCGCCCTCGCCGCGCTCCTTGAGTTTATTGTCTTTGCGTTGCTTCTTCTTCTCGTCCTTGTCCGGGTCATCCTTGTACTTAGGCCCACCGGCGATTTCGACGTCAACGCAGAATGCTACTTTGCGCAGCTTGTTCTGATCGAGCTCGGGTACTAGGCATCGAGCTCGGTTTGGATCGACGTTCATGACCCTTCTAGGACACATGCCACCGTTGGGGTAGACCTTGCCGGCAGTTCCAACCTGAGTTCCAGATGACAACCGTCGCAGGGCATTCGAGAGGAAGTTGGCTTTGGGCTGCTGAGGTACGTATGGCTCAAGGCCTGGGTTATTGCCTCCAGCAGCAGCCTGTATTCCGTTGAGGGCGCCGTTGGCTGATGGCGCATTCGCATGGTTCCCATTTGCAGCAGCTGGCGACCCTTGCGCCTGGGTATGTGTTGTTTGCGCAGGTGGGTTCTGCGACGAGAATTTGGAGCTTATGCTAGATATCCACGAGTTGCGCCGTGAGCTGGTTTTGGAGTCTGAGTGAGTGGTACCGCCGTTCTTCCCGTCGCTACCTCGGCTAAGCATCGTCGGTCGTTTTTGGGGTATCTTCTGGGGTGTGGATGTCGCAGTGGGTGCTGGAGTGGGCGCAGGTGGTGAGGCAGGTCTTTGCACTGCTGGCGCTGCTGCTGGTTCGGGCGCTGTGGGCTCTCCATGGTTCTGGTGCGGTCTAGTGGGCAGACCACCATGGGACGACGTCTTTGGCGGAGCATCTCTGGTCAGGCCCGGGGACGACGGAGCCTGCGTGCGATGGTGGTGGCCTACAATATCACAGGTATTAGTCAGGCTCTTTGCGTACACCGCTGGTACTATTCGTTCCGCTTGGGCCGAGAGGGTGGAGCGCCCAGCGTAAGCGGATATCTCACCTCTCGTCGAGTTATGCAGCCATGAAACGTCAACACCATGGATGTCTTCCATCGCAGACGTCTGCTCGTGCGCTGGCTGAACGGCTGTCATTGTTGTTGCACGGCTGCTGTCGCCATCCGTCGAAGCGCAATGCGGTCACAGATCACGGGAGTCGAGATGCGGCGAGCGGTCGTCAGCGGGGTCTCGCGGGTCTTGTTCGCCGCAACCTGATTGGAACTGCTGGGAGATGGACAGCTCAGACAGTGTCGGTCCGGGATTGTGTGGGCAAGCTGTCCAGCGACTCGTCGTATGAAAGTCAGCCAACCGTGGTAACAATACAAAGAAGTTTCTGCTGTTGCGATATCGACTGCTGGGTTGACGTTATGCCCTCTGCTTTATCAGGCGGTTGGCTGCTCTGGCGAATGACGTCCGGCTGCGGTTTCGGCTCCTCTTTCGCTCCAACTCTACGACGGAGATCGACCGGACTTTTTGGACCCTAAATACTTTAGTTAATGGCTACGACGTCCCTCGGAGGTTCATGTACATGTTTATATCTGAACACTTGAATCACCTAACAGCAGCTGTCATCGTTTCAGCTGCTTAGCTGACGCGCCACGCTGAATAAATAGCTGACTGAACGAGCATGATCCGTCAGTGTTGAGCTAGCTGAACCCTACCCCACCACGACGAGACAACTGTTCGTCTGGCCAAAATGGTACTCCCGGCCCAGGATGCCTGAGCGAGCATGGTACTCCTGGATCGGCCGAGATGTTTGTACTCGCCAGATAGCTGTCAAAACAGTGAGGCGCTGCTTGGCACATCGAACGTGCTTGTGCTTCAGGAGTTATTTGTGCAAAAGGCAAATTAGTGGGCTGGGAAAGGGGAAGTTGGATGCAACAAAATGGTTCACAAAATTGATCATTCAGGGTATCGTAATGTGTTGGGCATGGTGCCAACTGCACCTGCCGTCTCATCATCTCATTCGAGTCGTGAAAGGCTAAGTACAGTGCCCTGCCAGTACAGGTATCATTCCCCATTCATATCCAGACGCCGGAAGCCGTGCTTTTGTTCATGAAATGCGAAGTGATGTGAAGATGCTTATGCCTTGAGCTCAGCGATCTTAGCCTTGACCTTCTCCTCCTTCTCGGCCTTGGACAGCTTGTTGAAGCGGTATTTCTTGGACTCGGCCTTCCAGTGGTCCTTGGACTTCTTCTCGCCAGCCTCCTCATCCTTCTTCCAGGGATCCTCACGAATCTGCTTGTGGGCCTCCTCGTAGAGCTCCTCAAGACCATCGGCCTCAATGTCATCGTCGATGTAGCCGGAGAACTGGGACTTGTAGCGCTCCTCGTCGTCATCGGCGAGGGTCTCCATGTACTCAGCGACGTGACCGGCGAAGATGTACTTGCGGAGGGTCTCGGCATCGAGCTCCTTGCCCTCCATATCGTAACCGGGGAATCGGTTCTCGGAGTGGGGGACGAAGAGACCACCGTCGGAGGCACCCTTCATGGCACCGAAGACACGGGCACCGGTGGAGGTGCGGGTAAGACCGACATCAAGGAAGACCTTGAAGGGGCGGCGCTCCTCACCGTCGATCTCGACGGCCTCGGTGATGTTGTACTCACCATCGGCCTCCTCGACACCGGTGAAGTGCTCGTCGAGCTCAAGCTTCTTGAGGACACGGCGGGCGAGCAGAAGACCAGTAGCGTAAGCGGCAGACCAGTTGGTCAGACCGTGGGTGATGCCGTAGGGCTTGAGCTCGTGGGCGTACGCAGCCATGAAGACCTTGTCACCGCCGATCTCAGAGGTGACGATCTGAGCGATGATGTCCTTGTTGGTGAAGCGGACGACTAGACGGTACTTGGGCGCATTGTACTTGTTCTTGGCCTGGGTAATCAACCTCTTACGGGCATAGTAGTCGGCTGTGCGCAGTCAGTACTTGAATGTCTGGTGCGATTCTTGCGGATGTACGTACTCTTTCCCTCACGGCGACGCCTGTACTTGACCTGGTACCTCGAGAAGTAGGCGTTGCTCTTGACAAGCTTGGACTTTTCCCAGAGTCAGCGATTTGCGCTTCAAACCCGCATTCGAAGCAACTCGCAGAGACTCCACACATTTCGCGGGTGGACCTCATACTGAGGTTGTTCGAGCATATACTCAGGGTGTACTTACGAAAGGCATCTTGACCTGTTGTTAGTCTGTCGTTCCTGAAGGCTGCTGAGGAAGAGTTCGCAATGCGAAATAGTGGTGGGCGCAAGTGCGCCGCCAAGAGTTTAGCGACCCTTCAGCCGCAACTTCCGTGTTCGAGGTGGGTGACCACGAGCCTCAGCAGTGGGTGACCATCACAATTTGAGAATGACATATGAAGGGAAACCCTAAATGATAACATACAATTGGCCTACATGCTCATCGTTTTTAATCCTCGCCTCCATGCATTCAATGATCTCAAGGACTTGTGTTCTGCAGTGTTCATGCTGCTGCTGCTGCTGCTGCTGCTACAACCTGCACGACGCCTCTGCTTTGATTGTGAGAGAAATCTCAACATGCGATGTTCATTGCCAGCATCTTAAGAATCAACCAAATTAATGTATATATGTTCTCGTAAGTCGAAGCATGGTTTCGTCCCTCCATCTTCAAGTCGTAGCATGGATTGCCTGATTGGGAGCTCACTGCCCCACCACTTGGGAGGCTGGCTCGAGCGGCGGTGACGACCAACTGTCCAGGCACCGCCGCACCGGAGCATACAATCAACACTCCGCCTCCCCACACTCCCTCTCGAACCCTTGCATATTGTGTCGAGCTTCAATAAACATGGCGGAAGCTCCAATTGGTATGGATTGATGCCATGTGCCAAAGGTCGCACTGCTGACGCTGTATCAAGTCCTCGACGGCGGTACCGGTTTCCTGAAGGTTGGCTATGCAGGACAGGTACGCTCTTGATTCAGGCTCGTAGTCTTACAAATACCACAGAGGCTTACAATGTAGCAATAGAACTTCCCAGAACACCAGTACCCTTCCATCGTTGGCCGACCGATCCTCCGTACCGAAGAGCGCGATGGCGGCGACATACAGCTCAGAGACATCATGTGCGGAGATGAAGCAGCAGCAGCGCGCTCTATGCTTCAGATCACCTACCCTGTATGTTGGAGACTACGCACTACTGGATGTAGCAGAAGCTAATGCGCCTCACCACTACAGATGGAGAACGGTATTGTCAAGCGCTGGGATGACATGACACAGCTATGGGACTACACCTTCGCCGAGAAGCTCCAGATCGATCCTACTGGCCGCAAGATCCTCCTCACCGAACCGCCGATGAACCCTCTCAAAAATCGCGAGACCATGTGTGAGGTCATGTTCGAGCGCTACAACTTCGGCGGCGTATACGTGGCTATCCAGGCTGTGCTGGCTTTGTATGCGCAGGGTCTGTCATCTGGTGTCGTAGTTGACTCTGGTGATGGTGTTACACATATTGTCCCCGTCTACGAATCAACCGTCCTGAACCATCTTACCCGCCGCTTGGACGTTGCCGGACGTGACGTAACCCGCAACCTGATTGCGCTGCTTTTACGAAGAGGATACGCACTCAACCGAACCGCCGACTTCGAGACTGTTAGGCAGATCAAGGAGAAGCTATGCTATGTTTCGTACGACCTCGAATTGGACCAGCGTCTCAGCGAAGATACAACGGTCTTGGTCGAATCATACACATTGCCTGACGGCCGCGTCATTCGCGTTGGCAGCGAACGTTTCGAGGCTCCCGAGTGTCTCTTCCAGCCTCACTTGGTTGATGTCGAGCAGCCCGGTATTGCTGAGTTTTTGTTCAACACTATTCAGTCGGCAGACGTAGATGTCAGAAGCAGTTTGTACAAGGCAATCGTCCTTAGTGGTGGTAGCAGCATGTACCCAGGTCTGCCCAGTCGACTGGAGAAGGAGCTCAAGCAGCTGTGGCTTACAAAGGTTCTGGGTGGTAACCCTGAGCGACTTAACGTACGAACTTACATACCTCTGCTATAGTTCATCGCTAATAAGGGCACTAGAAATTCAAGGTCCGCATCGAAGACCCACCTCGGCGACGACACATGGTCTTCCTTGGTGGTGCTGTGCTTGCGAACATTGTAAGTACATCACACGACGTGAACCCTCAACGATCGCTGACATGGTGTAGATGGCCGACAAAGAGAACATGTGGATATCAAAGGCAGAGTGGGAGGAGCAGGGAACACGTGCGCTGGAGAAACTGGGCGCGAGATAATCAAAAGGAGATCACCTGCAGCATGCGGCTCAATGATTACCTTCAACCGCACGAACGAACAAATGACAACCAAGTATTATGCAGCCACGACTGTACACAAAGCCTCATGTCTTTCCTCGCTGTGTGCCACCTCAACCTGGCTACTGTTCGTGCGACTTCACCGTCGAAGCCACTTTCCTTGTGTCGCAGATGCTGTGAAACGTCGATCCTCCTTCCTTCGCGCCTCAACAGCCACCTCTACAGCGCCTCAACAATAGCTTGTTACATACCGCCAGCCGTACGGGCCGGGGCATTGATGAACGCTGATGGCTTGCCATGCCCGAGCACATCCGGCACTGCCACTCAAGGACCGTAGCCGCAGCCAAGAGCGTCCGTACTAGTGCAATATTACCTTCAATCAGTGGCATTAAGACAGTCGCCGTAGCTAAACCCAACCTCTCAGTTACTTCAGTAACACCACCACGTTCCTGCAGCGGATAAACCGCATCTGCATCTGCAATGCCATTGCATCATCAGGTTGAACGGCAACAGCCGCGCTAAGCTTGCCCAACTCGCATTTCCCCAATCCTCGTCTGCCCGAGGTTCACGATAGACGGAGAAGGGCCGACACGGTAACGCTTCTCTAGCCCGCACTTTGAAATCGACGACCTGAGATGCGCGGATAATGATGATGTCGTGTGCGTCTGAAGGGCTCTGGAGGCTTGCGCTGGATCTTTCCAGCCAGCACCAAGTGAGCAGGCAGACGTAGGCCCAGGGGCTCAAAGTTCATGATGCTCGAGATGATGCTAGCTACATAGCGACAGAATTGTTCCGGAGAAGTTTGCAGTACCTTCTACAGGTGGCTGGTCAAGCCCGGAATCTGCTCAAAATGGATCGAGCCGGGGTGCACTGTGGGCGCTGTGAAGGATCGCGATCAGAGCACATCGAGGGTTGCCCAGCCAATACAGGGCCTTTTGTGTTGAAAACAGTTGTCACTAAGGTCCCAAGTCTGGTACCCCAGACACAGGTACTAACAGTGGGGTAATTTCGCAGACGACACGACTTTGTGTGGTTCAGGCACCGTTCAGTTATTAACAGTCATTGATGTTCTCTTTCGCCACGAGCACGGCGAACAGTGAGCGCCGAACCGTTCATACAGTAAAGAACTAAAATACACATGCTATCACAGCATCCTCATGTTCGGCCGTTGTAGGCATGGGATCCGTGATTTCCAATGCGGAGTCCCCATCGCTTAGCGCCCGAACCGCACGTGAGCTGGGTGTCGGGTTTGCCGCACTCGCGACCTGCGTCATGTCCCTGCTGCATAATGGAGCGTTACGAGTTAGACAACACAATTCGCATTAGCGGTTCAAGGCCCCCGCTGCGCGAACCAAGGCCAATTCAATTATGTGATGACGCCGCTCGCGCTCGCTTGAGCCAGAGGCATTGATGTAAAAATTTCCTGTTCCCGCGCGGTTCTTTCGCAATAATATCGCCCTACTTTCCAAGGCTCCCAACACGGTAATCCACACGAAACACTCGATCTTCGGCGTGCACCTCTAGTCACTGCACTTCAGCTTATTTACTTTGAAATTGTGGAGCTCTCCAGTGCACTGCGCCATCAACGCCGGTCCGCCGCTACAGGTTACACGCGCAGCTCTTGATAACCATTTTGCCCACCACTGACAGGGCGCTGGTGCCTCCAATCCCAGCGCAGCGAAACAGGGTCCACTACCGTGCATCCCTTCATCCTCTTAGGAACCGACGTAGCACGACGGTGCACCGCCAGTCAAAGATCGACATCAGATTTTCCAATAAGATTTGGGTGCGTCCCAAGCTCTGTCTTGACACCAAGCATTCCAGGACCTTCCCGCTGCTAGATATATCAGAGGCTGCCTGATTGTGCACCTGTGCTCGGTACATTCGGAACACCTCTTATATCCTCCCTTTCTCTTCACCATCAAGGTGACAAGGCAAACAACTCTGTTTGCACGGCGTTTTCTCGTTGCAATTTTCCAGAGGTCCACGTATCAACACGTCATATGAGATCGCCATCGCCTCTGCCTTCGGCTCGTTCGACTCTCTCACATCTTCACAACTCTCACAACCCCAATTCAACAGCCATGTCGCCCGCACGCAACATGCCCACCGTGAGCTCGCCTCTCTCGCCAAGGACTGAGCCCCTGGCTATTCCCTCAGGCCGTCGACGACCTCAAGTCCACTCACGCCAGTCATCGACCAGTGGCCCCGCCATGCACCTCCGACTGCCGTCTTTGCCACGCTTCCACCCTGCCAATTTTGGAACTCCCAGTTCGAGTGCGTCAGGCACGCCGGTCACTGGCCCAAACAGCCCGAACCCTCCTCTCTCCCCTCGGTCAGGCAACACTGTCAGCAAATATGAAGCTCAGAAGCAGATGTACCTCTACCAGCAGCAGCTCCAGGCCAGGACCTCCACTCAAGTTCGAGGATCACTGTCCGCCAAACCCACCAGCCCTCGTCTGGATCCCTTGGCCAGCCCTGGAGCCGTCACGCCTCTGGAGCTCGAAGGCGCTGATAGCTACTTGACAGCTGGAGTCAACCCTCAGGAAGCTGCTTCGCATGTCGAGAGGCTGATCCACGAAGAAGCCAACCGCCGTGGTGACCTCTCTCCTGGGCGTACAACCTCAGTTGGCGGCAGGTGACTCGCCGACTCAGCAAGGCCTGCTCGAGTGGCTAGGAAACACAAGCCAATGCACAACAGAGATCACAACGATGACCTCCATCTTTACGGCCTACAAGATTCCCAGCATTTCTTCCGGAATTTTTTACCCTACGGAGTCGGAGCATCATCGGCGTTCTACATCACCACACCGCACATCTAGCACGACCAAAAAGTGGCTTCAGCATCACCTTAGAGTTTCCACTTTTCCTCTATTAACCGGATCATTTGCAACGGACGCAATCTCGCACAAGACGGTGAACGAAACTCTTCTCGTCACAATGTCAACCGGACACTCGGATGACTACGAGCCATACCTTCTCCGGTCACAAGATGGAGCTGGCGTGTTTCCCTTTTCTGTTTCCACACCGCCCACACCCAAGTGCTGGAGTGTGTGGCCTGACCGATCGCTTATAGATACCGAGTACCCCATTTCCTTTGCATCAGCATGTATTGCATCTCGCCTGTCACAGCTTGGTATTAAGCGCTCCGCCTACTGGCGTTGAGCGAGACAGATCACAAGTCTCGTTCCCAGATAGATACGAATGAATAATCAACCATATCGCAACACGCAACTTGCCACACAATCCAATACGACAATAATGCTTGACTCCTCTCGAAGGCAGCTGCCAGTTTCGCTCGTGCCAATATTGACACCCAATTCGTGCCTTCCCAACTCGTCCACCTTCACTGCCGAGTGTGCCGTGAGCTCGAGCTTTGCTCGCTTCCGCCTCACCATGTTTGCTCAGGCACATCACCATGCACATCCAGACCGCAACAACACAGCATTGCATCCCAAAAGTAACATAAACATCTCTGCCCCAAACAGCACCCTCAACCACGTTTCTTCTGAAACCCAACAAGCAGCAATTGTGGGCATCGCTTCGGGCCGCAACCACTCCTCATCCATCCTCCTCTCAAATCTGCTAGCCCTGCAAGATGATCACTATCAACGTGGCATTTTACCAGCTTTTGTGATTCTCCAGGCGATCAACGTCCGAGAAAGCCCCGCCAAGCCAACAATGCTGGACGGTGCTTGACAAATTCCACAATCGCTTTCGCTGGCGCCCCACAACTACAGCCAGGATAAGCGGTGTTCTGAAGATCGTCATATCAGATTCTGCTTCGGGAGGTACCCACTTGCCAGTAATGTAAGGGCAATCTTGGCGTTGGTGAATTGTTTGTCAAGGTGCACTGGTTGTGGGAGGAGACGGTGGAGTCGGTACGTGCGCGCCGTCGTTGTGCATGGTGCGGACGGGGCGCTAACAGTACTGCACACGGAGCAGAAGAAGCAGGAGACGCAGCGGCCGCATTGACACGGCTTGAACACCCGCACGAACACAAAGGCGCAAAAGTAACAGTGAGATACGAAGGATTCTATTCTTGCAACGGCAAGCGCACAGACAGGTTTGCCTGAACACGAAACTCAAAGGAACATCCGACTTCCGATCGTGCTTACCCTGCATTCGGGGTTGCCACGAGCGCGATGTGTTCCCGACAAGGCAGGAACTACGTTCGATGGTATGATTGAAAGTTCGCTGGCGCTAATCAGCGCATTCCTATCAGTGGATACCGGTACTCTGTCATGCAGGGCGAACGGATAACCGCCCCCGGATTTCCAGAAGAAACGTTCGAGAAGGGTGGTGGCTGCTTGCGCAAAGACGACTTCGATATCCCGCGCTGCTGATGTCTCTGATGATACCAACAGCCAGGTTGAACAATCGAAGTACAAAACTACCGTCAGGAAAAGCAGCGTAAGGGACCGGCAATGACTCGCCGAGTCCGAGCCCGTGTTCGTCTCCAGCGGCTCCACATCTTGTTCGCTGTACGAGCGTGTGCTCTAGCATTAATCAATACACCCAGTCACCGGTCCTCTTTCGTAGCACGCAAGTCTGATAAAAGCGAACTTGGGTTCCAACCAGGAAAAACAGTCAGCCATCCTTCTGAAAATTATCGGCACCCTTCCCGACTGTTCGTTGACTTGCTGATACTCATGCATATGTCCTCATCTAGCCAGAGAGGGACAAGTACATGCAACGATCGATAAGATAACCAGCGTCATCGTCCTAGCAACGGACAAGACCAGAACAGGGCGTAACACCGGCTGCAGTTACCAGACGATCATGGTCCGCAAGCCACTGGCAGGAGATGTTCGGATAAGTCAACCGACGCCGGCTGGGTGTGGTGAGATGGCTGCTGCTTGGCTGCGCCTGCGCAAGTCATGTCGACTTTCTCCGCCGCACAAGAACCAGCACAGATGCTGAATGCGACTGCTGACTTCTTGGAATAGCTTGACGGTCATCTTACAGAGGTACAAAACTCTCAAGAATACTGGATGGCTACCCTGATGGTCGTCGCGATCACCGGCCCTTCTCTTCAGTCGCACGCTTTCATCGCACCATCGCAGGAGTTCTCTTTTCTGGTCAACTCTCTCGCCCGTGTGGGCCCCCTAACGATGTGAAGTTCCAACGGCCGGTCAAAAACAGCAGTTTTGCAAGCGAACCTGAAACTCGATGTTGGAACATCGTTCGGCTATTACGTCAGTGGCGTCAGATTCCGCTAACTAGCGTGGATCTTGAGCATTAACTGCTTGTGGACTGGTTTCTACACGACACGGTCGGCATCTGTTGCGCAGGATACCCCGCTACTGAAGTGAAGATGTTTGTTTGGAGATTGCGAAGTCATTATTGTTAATGCAGAAATTGAGCCTACAACAGAAGATAAACGCGCGATCTCCGGGTACAATGCGACAGGGTTGAGGGTATACCCACTCCCTCAGGTGTGACCGAGCGGACCGAATATTGACATGTATTGACATGGACAATCGTCAGCTTTTGCATCTCCTCATTTCCCCATGTTCTGACCCCGCATTCGAGGAAGCCGTTGCTGCATGTTATGGCGATCTTCATGGCGAGTATCATGCACTCGTCGTTTCATTGAAGATTTCACACGCGCAGGCCTGTAGGTGTTTAGTGTAAGATTTGGTAATCGTAGATAACGTGCAAACTGACTTAGTATCAGTAGTAGGGTAAGAGATGCTACAGCTTGTGGATAGATGTTTACAGCCGACCACTCGCCCATCAAGACTCGACACGCATTAAATGGTGTTACATTGCGAGCACTCACTACGATACGCGCTTGCTTTTGTTTCAATGGAGACTTTATCCATGCTAGCTGATCAGGTTGGGCAACAACACTCCACCAGCCCTTGCTGAACACAGGTGTCATCGACAAGGCTGGAGGGGTGTGCGAGATGTCCTTCTGTAAGGTAGGGGATAACTTCCATGGAGAGCAGGCCTGTTGTTGCCACAGCATTCTGGATTTTGTGGCAAGAAGGGTCCTTGTAATCTCTTATTCAACCACGTTGTGCTGCGTGTCATGTGTTTTGTGCGCTGAACGGTAAGGGAGATGCAGGTACAAGTTTGGTCGCTTGCGGCGGTAACACGACAGCCTTTCATCGACGACACACCATAGACATCACAGACGCGCACCTCATACGAAAAGTGATCAGTATTGGCGAGAGAAGTATGTATCTAGTCATCACGAGTTCACAGGGCCCTGGAGGTTGTCAAGTCTTTGTCACTGTGACAATGAAGTTTGGAATCTTGGGCACTTCCATCAAACATTGTGGGATTCTTTAGGAAGTAACCATAAAGGAAACTATATGTGTCTCCACCTGCTCTCCATTAACGGCGCCCAGGATATCTCCTCACCACTTCATGCCTTGGTCTGAACCACAGTGGAGGGGCTCTTGCAGAAGTTGCAGCAGAACCATGTTTTGTTCATCTTGTCTCGAGCGTCGGTTCGAACGGTCAGACCGACAGAGCAAGAGCCGCAATAGACGTTGATGGTGTCTCGATCCAGCGCCAACGCCATGCCTATGGCAAAGGTAGGGAAGGTCTTCAGTGTAGTCTCGTAAGTCGCGCTGTCTGTAAACTTGCGCTGCCCCTCCAGGATGACCGAAGTAATCGGCTTCTCCATGGGAGTATCCATGTCCACGCTCTCGCCATAGTGCGCAATAATCGCGGCCCTGAGGAACTTGAAATTTCCCGTATCCCCGGTCCACAATACAGTGTGCATGTCGCAGGAAGCGCGTTGGTAGATCGTGGGAACAGGGTACTTGTCGGCTACGACACCGATGCCTATCGGAATCAGGACACGCTGCGTCATATCTTTGACGGCTAGTCTTGCGATCTCGGCTTTGTCGTAGTGGTTGGTGTAGGTGTACTTGGGGAGCAGCTCGAAGTGCAGCTTGTCATGGCGCACCAGTTTGATGTCATCTCTGTCCTGAAGGCAAGTCAGTCGAAATGCATAGAGTAGCTCACTACATGTCTCACTCACCTCGTAGTCTCCAGTGAGCTCATGGCGGAAGAAGTCGGACTGCATGCAAAGCACGGCTTTGTGAGCACGATACTCATGGAGCTCCTCATCGGTGTCGAACTGGAGGGTGGTTACGTCGGAGAAAGCGTGGTGTTGAAGAGGCTGGAGGCAGTCAGAGACCAGCCACTGGGTCCGAGGAACAATGTCTCCAGGGCTGCACACTCCGCAGCTGAGCGCTTAGCAGGCTCGGCCATCTTGACTGACGAACTTGTCGCGAAAGAAGGTGAGGTATTGTAAAGAAGGAAAGGTCGGGAAGGTGAGAGAAAGACTTTGGGGATGTAACAAACGGAAGCCGCCACCACAAACTAGCGCAAGGGTTGCATTGATAAGAGTCGAGGTGAAAGTGACATGGAAAGAGATGGACACTTGAAGAATGTCTATGATGGGCGATTATATGATCTGCAAAGAAAGAAGAGGTAGGAACTACAGTCATACTGTTGCGGCGTGGGCCGCTGTAGAATGCTGATAGCTACGGTAAACGATAACGTAGGACTATCGGGTCGATGGAATACTGCGCTGAACTGATATCTAGCTGGGAGATGACGACTATATACCTGACCTCAGGCCAGTGACCTGTCACGTACTAGACCAGGGAATTCTGCCAGGGGTACAGTCAGACCTTGTATGGACCAACCGATCCTGCAACACATTCAGCCCATCCTTCGCCTTGAAAGCTAACGCAATATCAGCGCCTAGCGCGGAATATTCTTGATCGTATCTGGGAAGCCCTGTGAGCGAGAAAAGTCGCGCGGAGCCCCGTAGCAGATTGCCAAGGTGAGTAACTTGCCAACGTCACCCAAATGCGCGTTGGAGAGCTGGATATCTGTTGAGTTTTCGTGAAAGCAGTTGCTGTTATCGCACCTGATCACAGTTGTCCTAGGTCTTTGCTTACGCTCCCAAACGAGCATCATATCGGCAGCAAATATGCTGTAGGCGCAAGTCATTTTCTTCATCTGATCAGTGTCAAGGTATTCCCAGTATTAAAACTCAAGAGCTGAGGTCAAGACCTTGCCCAACTTGGAGTCCACGGCGGGCTTGCAGCTGTAGTACTCATTTATGGCGGCTTCAAGCGTCGTGAAGTCTTCATTGGCTTCGCTGAGGATGCCATCGATGTGACATTCGACCTCTTTAGAGAAGAACTTCAGGCCGTACTTGTCAGCCAGGGCCCATACTCCCATGGCAGTGAGGACCTGCTTCGTGCTATCTCCGTTGCATAATTGTTTGACATCTTCGTAATAATTATCACCATTGTACACGTATTTCAGTAAAACTTCGGAGTGATTCGGATTGTCGTCGAGGAGGTTCATGATAGGGTCCTTGACGTCCTGCAGAGTGTCAGTTCTGCGACACAGCGCAATGTTGTGGGCATGATACTCGCGGACAACTTCACCGCCGCTAATCAGTCGTATCTTGATATCTGAGAGCGTGGGATTATCGGAAAGGCTTTGAAGAAGTAGTTGTCAGCCCCAATAAGGTCGCGTGGAGGTAGTTGACTCACTCAGCAGCAGGTCGCTCTGTATGTGCCGACATGTTGGTGGTGCCGTGGTCATCGTGGGATGCAGTATTCAGATTGATATCGAGGTGAGCGGGGGACGAAGTTGCGGTATGACGAAGAACAAGGTTACTAAAGCCTATAACTATTTGGGCTAGACGCCGCTCATCAGCAATGACAGTGAAGGTATAGGGAAGAACGGTGAGGAAAGCAATCAAAGACTAGGACAGCAGAGAAAGTAGACCTCAGAGGTATACATTGCATGATTTGCATGATTATGTTAGGAGCTTGCATGATTGCAGAACACTGTGGCTCTGGACACCGGGGGCCAAAGACAGTGTTGTCGTTTTCGTTGATGACGACCAGAGCGTCATGAATTTGCACGTCAGCCCATGCTTAGAAGTATTCCTTGCAAGTTTGGATGAGGTGCTTGCAGTCTGGTGAAGCGCTGTAGATGGGGAACATGTGCGAAGGTTTGTCGTTCAAGCAAGAGAGACAGTGATAGATTACCTTCTGTGGCTTTTTGGATGTAACAGTTGGGCCCACGAGTCCGTCGTTAGCAGGTTGACGGGTTTCGCCTGTCTTGCGATTGATGGTGTGAGAGCGGGGTTGTCGAGTGGACGTGTTGATATTTGACAATGTTGAGGTTGCTGACATGAAATCTCAGCTGTGGACTCGTCGTAGCTTTTATGTATTGCTGCACAGTGAAACAAGCCACAAGACAAGGTGAATCTGAACTTGACGACAATAACGAGTTCCCGAACATGGCGACGATCGGACAAAGGTCATCTTGGGATTTCTGTCTGGCAATCCATTGTCTCTCTTGAGGCTGACGAAGGTTTGGTAAGACAACGCCAGTCGTTCCACAAATGTTTCTCTGTATGCTGAAGACCTTTGAGCTGGAGGTTTCATCTGTATTTTCGATCGTGAAAGATGCCATCAAACGAAAGAGTGTTCTCAGAGGCTACAGAGAAGATCAGGTGCACTGATTGCAACTCAACCCATGCCTTGGAATACCTAATCAATACCACCGCTCAGTGTCCCGGGCATACTTTGCAGTCTTCACACGCAATCTTACCCAATGCATGTCGCTGCCCTTCCGTTTGAGAATGTCACATTTCAGTCAGATCATGTTTGGTAAGGCGAGAGCTACGGAGGGGCTCGAAAGGGCGTGCAAAAAAGCATAATACAGTTGCAATTTGTGAAAGGACGCAGTAGGCGCAAAAATAAACTCCCCCGGAAAGGCTCGAACTTTCAACCTCCTGATGTGCCATCAAGCGGGTGCGGATAACAGTCAGACGCGCTAGCCAATTGCGCCACGGAGGATTTGATCAAGTTGATCAAGTTGATCAGTGGCAACTGTTGTTATTTACTTCGATGAAGATGTAGCTGGATATATATTATATATCGCCACGTATTAAAAATGAAACCATACATTGCACTTGACCGTTTCTGATATTGATCACTGGGGCTCGTTTTCGTGGGTGCTGGGGATGTGGGTCAAGCTCGCTTACATGTCCAATCATCATGCATCACCACTCCTTGCAACATCGCCCGAAAACTCTCGCACTAACTGTGACCGCAAATGTTGACATTAATGTTTGCGCTGGATGCAATGCAAGAATGTGTGATCGCTGGCAGTTGCACGTTCGTTACGTGTGTCGAAAAGGTACGATACGTCGGAACCGTCGAGAAGGACACCCGGTTTACCGCCGTTTTGTTCGCCGAAATAGTCCGCCCGCTATGCTTCGTAAAAGATGGTTGTCGCAATGAAATGAAGAGATGTCGAAAGCGGTAGATTGTGTCAAGTGCTCTTTCTGGGCCCTTTCCTCCTTAATGGCCCGGCATGCCTCGCTTTGATCTTGAACTCGTCGCTGTCGAGGTCGAGGGTACCACGGAGGATGCTAGTTGTTAGCAGGTCCTTATGATAGCAGATCTCGCCGTCCTCAATCATCTTCTCTGCATCCGGATCGCCCTCTTCCGTCGCAAGCACGATAACCTTATCGTTCTTGCCGGTCCGCTTGGCTGTGACCTTCGCACCAACTGTCTGGCATACTCGGTCCATCTCACGGAAGTTTGTGTACGTCTTCTTGAGGGTCGGGGTGAAGTAGACGGCGTAGCCCTTGAATGGAGTCTGCGCTACGCCCCATACTTTCTCGAAATTGAATCCCCACTCCTTCTCTTGTTGAGTAACCGATGGTTTGAACGATGATAGGTCAAGGAAACCTTCGGCCCTAGCAGATTCGACCAGCCATTTGTCGGTCACGATGGGAACACCGAGAGCCACCGCCTGAATGACTTTCATAGTCTTGGCTAGGCCACCGTCTCGCACGCTGTACACGGTCAGTACTTGGTCGATTCCGTAAATGGGCTGCTAAATGTGCAGCGCCAAGCTCACGTACCACAGAACGTTGCACTTGTCCTCGACAGAAGCAACAAGTGTGCCTCCATGCTTTCGGAGAAACTTCACAGTTAAACTTCCATCCTTGATGGCCGAGTTACTGGTAGCGACTCGAGGAGGTTCACCTTCATATGCGGCAACTGTCGTAGCCGTCGCAGAACGCTGCGAGCTTCTCGATGACTTTGTGGGTGTTGTCTCTGTGATCTCTTGGAAGCGCTTCTTTCCCTTCGCCGAATAGATGGTGCGTAAAGGATCGGCATTGATGTCGTCCAAAGGCCTAGGCTGCATGGTGTCGCCTCGAGCATCCTTGATGGACGCAACATTCTTCATGCGTTTAGCTGTAGGTTCCTCTGTGGCAGCAGGGCTTGGGCATTTCCTTGTGCGCCGGCCACTGGCTCTGACTTCAGGCAAGCTCTGCGGTAGCTTTCGATCTGTGGCAGGTTCAACATCGATAGAGTCATGCGCAATGCTCTTCGGTGACTGGCCAGTGTGAGCTATAGAAGAAGTCTCTGTGATACCGATCGCCCCCTGAGGTGGAGGGGTTGGCATTACGTGCCGGTCCTCGTTCGAGAGCGCAACCTCGTACTCGGCCATTCCTACCATACGCTGGGTTGTTGGGGTCTCTTGCACGAGAACAGAGTGGTGTGTAGGTAAGTGTGGTGTAGCAGATGGTTGCGATTTTGTTGGCTGAGTGATAGGTTGCGTTACAGGAACCTCGGTGATTGTGTTGCCTGGAGCGGCTTCATCCTCAGTCTCGTCTTCGGGCGTTTCGTCAACGCCGTTCTTTTCACCAGAGGTCTCATCATGTACAAGCTCAGCTGATGAATTGACTTGTACTTCCGGTGCTTGCCACGTGCATCTCACGCTGTCAATGGCGTTCGGAGCAGTGATAACGTCTCCATGCCTCAAAACGATAATCTCAGAGTGTCCGTCAGAAGCTGGCTCGAGTTCGTACTTGTCCCCTCGCGGGTCTGTCGCCACCAAAGCGTTCAGAGGGGCTCGCGAATGGCCAGGTAGGATGTACAATTTCTCCACAGCTTGTAGCTTCGCACCTCCAAACCCCAAAGCTGCATGGATTAGCATGGTGTGCAGGATCCGACAGGGATACGCGTACTGATCTGTCCGAGCTCATGGTCGCCTTGCTGGAATTTCGTCGTGAATACGATGCGATTGAATCTCCGGACAAGATAAGTAGTTCGAGCCCTTCTCAAGTCGAACTTAACAGTGTTTGCAGTCCCTCCTAACGACTGTTCCAGGTTCATCGTGGCGGATTGAGATGTCGACCTCGAGAACGCGTTGTGGCGGAAGCTCGAGCTGGAAGGCCGAAAATCGCGTCGCGTAGTCACGTTTCCCAGCTACCGTGTCCGTGCGCGTGGCGCCCGATCATCAAAACAGCACCCATACTTCAACACGTCACAACTCTACAACCATGACAGATATCAAAGAAGCGCTTGAAGAAATCGAAGATTTGAAGCCAGGTGGGCAACTTGTGTATACAAAGATTGCAGAAAAACATGGGGTTGATTGCTCAACGCTGTTGCAAAAACACAAGCAGGTTCAGGCTGACCCAGAGACCAAGAAAATCAGCCAACAAACACTCAACCCACATTAGGAGCTGGAGCTTGTACAGTATATAGAACAGCTTACGGCTTGTCATATACCTCCTACAAGAGAGATGGTAGCAAATTTTGCGTCATCTATTGACTAGGGATTGGTCAGTGACAGCTGGGTCACACGTGTCAGGCCTGGCTGATGATATAGTACTGTTCCGGCTAGAGCTCACCATTAGAGTGAGCCGTGATACCTTTTGGCTTGCTTGGCTCAGTGGGCCGGACCTGAGTCCTGACAACACGCTTCCTCAGCAGGTGTAAGGGACACAACCAGAAGCGGAGGT